CCCTGGAGGAGATTCAAAAATTCCCAGTTGGTGTCTCTTCCTACCTGGCCTTGAGCAATTTTTCCTTTTCAGTAGGCCTCAGTTATAAAATATGGGCTAATCTCTATGCCTGTACAGTCCTTGTCAGCCATCCATTTATTGGTTCTACAATATAACCTCAAGAGAGTCTTATAGGAACTCCCACATGTTGCTGGGGTAATGATTTAGGGGTTAAAAGGCTCAGAGAAAAAACTCAGAACAAAGCCACCATGGATATGAACTTGAAGGGAGGATAGTTCTGTACTTTCTTCTAATCTCAGACACAATAGTGGTATTTCTAATTGGATACCAACAACCTGGTGCCCTCTGTTCCTTTGCATGTGGCTTCTCACCTCGTCGACTTTTACTCAAAGGACAACAGGGGCCTCTAACTTTTCCCTAGTTTCTGCTCAAGAAAAGTTTCAAATATGAATAAAGACTCAGGCCCTATTCCTCAGGCCCTACGAGCATCCAGGGTGCACCCTCTCTGAGTAATGGTTCAGCTGAGGACACCACAGATTTTAAATCTTGGTGTGGGTCACAAAACTCAGGAGCACAACTTTAAACATACAATTTATATCAGGATTTGTGGATGCAGGTGCTTAAGGGGACCCTGGAGAGAACGGGTACATAATTCCTTTCTGCGCAAATGGCAAGTTCAGAATTGGGAGCTAGGTGGACTACACAGAGTCTTTAAAGACCAAAGATCCTTCTAAGAAGGACAATCCAGCAGGTCAGATGTCACTGGTGTTCACCGGTCTTGTGGCCCAGACAGACATCTGAGGGCATGTTGTAGTCCCATTCACTTCCAAGAAGTCATGATTGTGTGAATTCATAATTATCTACAGGCCTTGTGAGTATATCAGAATATTATTTTATGAATCCACACATCTCTGAATCTATGGGCTTGTTTCCAATGAGATCAATGGGATATTCTTGGAAGATCCCAATGACTCATTCTTGACACTTGTGCCAGTCATCTGGCTTCTCTATGCCATGCCTTCCCAACTTATAAAATGGGTGTGGTACAACCCACACCTCTGATTTGGTGGCACCTGGAAGCAGTACCTCTTATTGAGTGGGGGGGTATGCTACCTGAAGATGTCAAACCCATTAGTGAGAGCCTGACTCTAGAGAGCAGGAAGTGAGCCAGTCAGAGCTTACAATGGGGTGAGATGCTCATGTTGGCTAATCGTAGGATGGGTGCTCACCACATGGAGGAAAGAGTTTGGTCTAGAATGTGCTGTCAGTGTACAGGTTTTCCATTGAATCAATTCAAGTATCTGTTCATGTGTTAGATTACTTATCTTCAGATCCTATGCAAATGCGCCCACAGAAATGCATAGAAATTATATTGTAGTGCAGAGATTTCCAAACTTCTTTGGCCAAATGTCACCTTTTCAGAATAAAAAATACCCAGTACCTCCTCCTTGAAGTCTGTCTTCTTTAGGTGAGCAAATGAACGGTCCCCTGAGCTTCAGCTGAGGCCAGTACTGTCTTTTGGGGTTGGTCCAGTACCCTACTTTGGGGGTTGGGGGCTAATACTGCCCACTTTGGGAAACACTGATAGTGGAAATAACTCCATGAATAGTTACTATGGATGTGGAAAGACATATTTCCTTTGTAAAACAAATCATGACAACCATAGAATTTTATAGCCAGTAGTAGCCTTGTATAGTTCTTTCTTTTAGTAGGAGAGAAAAAGCAGTGGAAAGTACATAGTGAACTTACACAGTACAGCAGAGTTAGGATCAGATTTGGGATTGGCTTCATCTGTCAGTGCTGTCAGTACCTTAAATTCTTTCCTGTCTATCAATATTCCCACCAAATGGCCAACTTTCTAGAGGATTTTCTTCTTTGTAGAGTGTGCATGGTTGTCCTAAACATATTTATGTATAAGATAGAGTGTGTCCTAATGACTAAGTGTCATGGACTTTTACACCAGATGCAGAGTATTAGAGCAGAAAAAAAAACAATAAAACTCCATGACTCTTATATCTGGGTTCATATTCTAGCTTTATTACATCTAGCGATGTGAGATTGGCCAAGTTGTTTTATTGACATAGTTATCGAGCCATCATTGTGGGTACTGGCTTTGACATCATTGTGGGTACTGAATTTGATGATCTATCCCTTTGAAGTTTCTTAGTCCCCCAAAATTTTCCTTTTCTCCGTTTCTCCATAAAACCTCCTGCCTGGCATTAATTGAATCGACATCCCCAGGAAAGCAGTGATGGGTTGGTCTAAAATTATAGTCTCCCCCTTTTCTACTATCCTCTGGCTGGAGGGACTGGTGGCCTTCCCAGAGAAAGCCATGGAGCGTTGGAAGTCACCCGTGCAGGAATGACAGGAAGAAGCATGAAGTTTTTCAAACCCAGGACAGAAGCTTTCATGCTTCCTCCAGCTTGTTCACACACATACATTGCCATACTAATCTTACCAAAGAAATCATCCGTGAGCTAAATGCAGTTTGTGTTTTCCTTGTTTAGAAAATTTGGGAACCTTAAGATTGGTGAATCTTAGGGAAATTGGGATCCATATAGACAAATGGAGAAGCACCCTTTATCTAAAACCTTACAGGTGACATTGCTTGACCTGGACTTGCTGACTTGAGTGGGGAGCTGTTTGAACCAATTTCTTCGTTCGGGATCAGGGTAACTTTCTGCATTGAGTAATGTAACATGTGGGATTGGAGAAAAGCGTGGGTTTTGGAATTAGATAGGTTTAGGTTCAAAGGATACTCTATCGACTGCAAACAGAACTGTTCTCTAAACTAGGGATCTTGGTCTCATTTTTCTTATCTCTAAAAATAGCTTGTTTGGAGGTTCTAGCAAAATAGAGAGGCACCTAGCCTGTCTCATGGGGCTATTGTGAAGATCACATGAAGCAACACAGGTAAATGGACTAGACCAACAGTTAGTACATTCAGTCCTTTAAGTCTGCTCTATTACACTTAGAAAACAAAGGGAAAAATTTCAGCAACAGTTGTAGAGAGAAACAAAAGGGGGGAAAGGCATGGTTGTGAAAACAAAGACTTATGAAAGCAGACCGCCTGTGTTTGAATTCTAGCCGCTTTTTGTGATGGCTTAATGACAATGGGTACTAATGGGTATTAAATACTAGGGCATGCAATGGGTATTAAATACTTCAGAGCTTCAGAAACACCTCAGTTACAGGGCAATCTATAAATGGAAGAGCCTCAAGAGCTATTTGTCACCTAAAATTTTTCAATAAAATTTTAGATGCTGCTGCCATTGTTAGCATACTGTGTTCATTTGGTTGGTTTACCTTCTTTAATGAGTTCTTAGGGATACAGGTCTGATACTTAGTTCAGGAAGGTAATAGGACATGAAAAGTTAAGGATGGAGAGGCCAAAGGACATAAGAAGATGAGGAAAGACAACCTTGATAGAATTATCAAATATCCAAACAAAATCGGAATAACTTTCCAGTTCAAGAGAAAAACCATTTTGGAGGAAGATTTCTGTGATTACTGCCAAATGGAGGCAGAAACACTTCCTCAAACCCTGCGGTCAGCAACCCAAATCACACCAACACCTTGGGAGCCAGTAAATACCAGTTCGGCTGGGGAGATGCAATATCACCTTTGACATAGTGTTTGAAAATTTGTAATATTAACCATGTCTTGAGCACTTTCTCAAAGACTCAAGTGACCTGGAAATAATTTCATAAGGATATATCCCATAGATACCACTTCTTCTAACTTTTGGATAAAGAACACTAAATTGCTACAAGAAGGACCAATAGGACTAATTTATCTCATGTTCTGGGAAATTGAATGTCAAGTAGAGACATGCCCTGCCTCTGACTGGAGAGACCTGCGTCCTGGGGAGGAATCTCACCAATGCAAGGCTGGCCCTGGTCCTCGTGATCACTGCTTCATTCAGATGTCATTAAATTGCTTCATTGGCACCCTATAAAAGGTCTCCCCAGTTGCGAGTTCCTCAGATTACTGACTTCTTCCAGTCTTGCTCCTATCACCCACAGGTAAGTCTATACCCGGGGAATCAGTGGAGTAGATAAAAGACTTGGAGATGTTGGTAAGGACAGTGGTGGAAGGAAGTGGTCAGGACTGGACAGCACTGGAGACTTATGGTTGTAGTTAGTGGGAAGGGCATGGATGGAGCAGGAGGAGAGGAAGGAGTGTGAGCTGAGCAGTTAGTCCTGTGTGAGAGGGATTCTAGGTCACCAGCCTCTTTCTCTCCAAGCGTAGATTTTCAATCCTCTCTTGGATCTGTGAATGAAGTGGGGTGACAGTCATGCTAATCCAAAGAGTTAACAATGGAAGTTTACTCCAATTTGGCTTTGTCAGGCTCTGACAGGCAGGTAAGCCTCTTAGTATTTTGATTGTTCGTTTGTTTGTTTGTTTGTTTTGGGCCACACCCAATCATGCTCGGGCTTACTCCTGGCTTTATGCTCAGGAATCACTACTGGCAGGCTTGGAGGATTACACAGGGTGCCTGGAATCAAATTTGAATTGGCCATGTGCAAAGCAAACTCTGGCCCCATAAAGACTCTTAAAGGCTCAAGGTTTGTTGAGAAATGAAGTTCGCTTTTTTTTTTTCTGGGTACTGTTTGTTTGGGAGTCAGGAAGAATGAAAGCCCCTTGAGAGAATGAGTGGCAGATCAAATAAATCATCTGGGAAATATCAATATCTCCCAAGCAACTCATAATGCAGACATTGACAGAGAAGAGAAGAGGCTGGAACGTTGGGCAGAAATACAGATGAGTGAGATGTGCAAAGGCACATGGTCAGTTTAGACAATGCAGGGCACCAGCGCTGAGTCTAAGACCTTTGACTCTGAGTTCACCCTGATGCCAGGTCTGGGCAGTCATTCACTTTTGGAAAAGACTCTTCCTTCCAGACTATCCCATCTAAAGGGAATGCTTGAGGGTTACTCAAAAACCTTCTCCGATCTGACCAAGCTTTTTCTCTTAAGAGTTTGCAAAGCCCCAGAAAGATGTGTGACCAGCAGAAGCAGGCACAGTTCCCTCCATCTTGCGTGAAAGGTTCAGGAACAGGAGGTGCTCAAACTGTCAAGTGCACGTCTGTGAAATGCCCGGCTCCATGTGAGACCCAAACTGTTGTGAAGTGCCCTCCTCCATGCCCGACTCAGACCTACGTGAAATGCCCAGCTCCCTGCCAGCCTCAAACCTGTGTGAAGTATGTAACACCTTGCCAGACGTATGTGAAGTGCCCAGCTCCGTGCCAGACGACCTATGTGAAGTGCCCAGCTCCGTGCCAGACAACTTATGTGAAATGCCCAGCTCCGTGCCAGACGACATATGTGAAGTGCCCAGCTCCATGCCAGACGACCTACGTGAAGTGCCCAGTGCCCTGCCAGACTCAGACATGCTATGTCCAGACTCCTTGCCAGACCTACTATGTGCAAGCTCCTGGCAGTGGCTCTGTCTCCACGGGTGGATATGCGTCTAGTGGCTGCACCCCGGATCCCTGCTCTGCTCCTTGCTCCACCAGCTACTGCTGCCTGGCTCCGAGGACCTTTGGGGTGAGTCCCCTGAGACGCTGGGTCCAACGACCTCAGGGCTGCAGTTCAGGATCATCAGGCTGCTGTGCTTCTTCTGGATGCTGCAGTTCCGGCGGCTGTGGTTCCGGCGGCTGTGGCTCTGGCGGCTGTGGCTCTGGGTGTTGCAGCTCCGGTTCCTGTGGCTCTGGATGCTGTTGTCTGGGAATTATTCCCATGAGATCCAGAGGTCCTGCATGCTGTGATCGCGGGGATGACTGTTGCTGTTAAATCAACAACAGCCTTGTGCCAGAGTTCGGCTCCTGTCCTAACTTCTGGAATATCCTAGTGCCTCTAGCCACACCCATCAGACCCAGGTGATTGACGCATCTCACTCTTCACCTCAACGCTCTGCTTCTTGACCAAGGCATCCTGCCAGAGTTCAAGCATCCCCAAACTTTGGCAAGAATAAAGCTCTGAATGTAATTCCCACTGGCATCTGTTCTGGTTATTTGCTCTATATTCATGCTTTTCTGTTAGAAGTTTTTCTGCCTTCCTCTTCTATTCTTGTTTCTCAGCAAGAAGCATGATCTGGGGGCTGGAGAGATAGCACAGCGATTAAGGCGTTTGCCTTGCACGCAGCCGACCCGGGTTCGATTCCCAGCATCCCATATGGTCCCCTGAGCACTGCCAGGAGTAACTCCTGAGTGCAGAGCCAGGAGTAACCCCTGAGCATCACCGGGTGTGACCCAAAAAGAAAAAAAAAAGCATGATCTGCATGGACACAAGCAAGAAGCTTTTTCTGGTGCAGCCCCAGCTGTGAATCCCTGTGCATTCTAGAACGTTGTAAATAAACTCTCTATACAAGTGAGTACAAGTGAGCAGGTGGGAGGCTGTGAGGTTTGGATGCCAAAGGATGCCTCTTTCCCAACCTCTGATTAGTCCCAGGAGTGTTTTGACGATTACAAGTTCCTTATGGGAGCATGACTGTTGCACATAAACTCAACAGTTTATTTTGGGATGTTGAAGGGATTGTGAAAACAGTTCTGGTCAGAAGCATATGCCTCTGATGTGCGAGTGACCTGAATCCATGGTGGCCTTCCTCATCTGACAGGCTCACTCACACGAGGTCTGACAGTAAAGGGGAGGATTCCTCTGAAGCAGGGATCCATTACCCATCCTGACTCTGAGACGGAGTCTGGGAGTGGGCAAGACCTCTCCATGAGGAAGGAGTTTCATGGGTCAGGTGTCTGCGTGCCAAGAACACCTGTGTTTTATTATTAGTACCTCCTTGTCCATTGCTCTGCTGATTCTGGAACTGTTTGGGTCTACTTTTACATCTAGAGAATGTAAACAACACACATTAAACAATAAGTAGAAGTATAAGGGTTTTCAAAGTAGTCCCTAGGACTTGAGCCATAATACAGCAGGCAGGACACTTGCCTTGCACATGGCTGACCAGGGTTCAATCCCCAGGGTTCAATATGGTCCCTTAAGCCCACCAGGAGTGATCCCTGAGTGCCGAGTTAGAAGTAAGTCCTGAGGACCACTGAGTGTGTGCCCTCAAAAACAACAAAGGGAAAAGCAGCCCCCAAACTCCAGGTGCATAAGCATAAGAGACAACGTTTGGCAAATGTATTAGTGTGTCTATTTTAAGAACCGGGGATTATATCTACACAATATGTGTTGATTCACCTTGAGACACAGACAGAATGCCTTATAAATCTGGGTTGCTTTCAGATTTAGACCAATTACCTATGAAGTTATTTAGATCTCCACAACCAGTGAAGCCATTTAGATCAATAGCTTCACAGATTGTACTTCATACCTCCATTCAAACCCTATAACTCCAAAACTTGGAGCTCCATTGCTAGACACTGAAAGAGCTGAAAGCAGGTATAAGACTTCTGACCAGAACTGTTTTCACAATCTCCCACCATGAGGGACCTGCAAAGTTAAAACGTTGTTAATGCTGCAGTGGATTTGAGGATGTATGATTCAGAATGAGGTAAATAGCACAAACCATTGAAAACAGTTTGGGTGGTAGTGGTGGTAGTGTTGAACATTGAATCTAGAGCCTCACATAAAAAAAACACATGTGCTCTATTGTTGAGTTATATCCCCATGGCCAACAGGAAAATTTCACAGCTTTGGAATCAAACCCAGTGCCTCCTACTCGCCAAGAAAATGCTCTACCACTGAGTTGTATCCCCAGTCCTTTGTAATGAAAGTAATAGCTCATGCAATTATGGATAAGGATCAAAAGCTACTTTCAGACTTCCAGTTGCACATTATTTTCAAGAATAAATGTACCAAGCCTGGGTTAGACCTTTGTCTAGGCATTGCTTATGCATAAATCACATCTAGCTGAAAGATTTTTTCTTAAGTTCCCCTTAACTTACTTTCTAGAAAAAGTCAAATTTTTTAAGATCATCCAGCACTGATGTATAAAGAAAAGATTGTAGAGGGACATGAGAGATATAGTTCAATAGGCCTGTCTTGCATGTGGTCTACCTGGGTTCTATCCCTGACACTCCCTTGAGCCCTGCCAGGAGCGACCCTGTGTTTAGAGTCTGGAGGAAGTCCTGAACACCACAGGGTGTGTGCCAAAACCAAAAAACTAACAAACATCTCACACCCTTTAATAGCACTGCACTGTAGCTCTGTCCTCCCGTTGTTCATTGATTTGCTCAAGCGGGCCCCGTAACATTTCCATTGTGAGACTTGTAGTTACTGTGTTTGGCATATTAAATATGCCACTGGTAGCTTGCCAGACTTTGCCGTGCAGGCGAGATACTCTCGGTAGCTTGCTGGGCTCTCCGAGAGGGGCAAGAGGGGCGGAGGAACGCGCACAAGGAAAACGCCCTACTGCTGTGCTATTGCTCCAGCCCACCCTTTAATATACTTATAAATATTCTATTTTCTCTTGTCTTTAGTTCTTCTAAATGAGACCACATTGGAGCCCTTCATTAAATGCCCCTATTTTTTTCCCCTCTATAATATTCACACATTATGGCTTCTTCATGTCTTCACTCTCAGTTTTCTCTCTTCCTCCACATCTCATTTTGGGGTCTGCTCCTGGTTGTGCAGCCTGAGTATCTCTGACTGTTATTCAGCAATAGTGATCCACAAGCAAAAACCCCTCCTTCTGGAGCACCAAATAAAGGGTGTTAGGAGGATCCTCCCAGGAGGGGAGATGCATGTCGAAAGTAGACTATGGACTGAACATGTTTGCCACTCAATGCCTCTTTTGCAGACCACAATACCCAAAAGGAGAGAGAGAACAAAAGGGAATGCCCTGCCACAGAGGCAGGGTGGGATGGGGGGTATGGGGGTGGGAGGGATATTATCCATGGTGGTGGAAAATGGGCACTGGTGGAGGGATGAGTATTTGATCATTGTATAATCGAAACCCAAGCACAAAAAATAGTAAATCTACAACTGTACCTCATGGTGTTTCACTAATAAAAAAAAAACCCTCCTTCTGTCCAGTTCTTTGTTTTCCCCTTCAGCTATTAATCTCTCTCCCAAGATCTGTTCACTGATTTTGTATGGGAAAGTGGGAAGAGATTATAAAGCTTAAAGTATAATATTATTCTTGGTATAAAGTATGAGTATTACGAAGAGTAAAGGGGAATCTATCTATATATCTATCTATCTAGGTAGATAGATATTTCAAAAAAAAACTTTACCAATTACAAACTTAATGGTTCCCCCTTTTAATTATATCTTGCCCAGTACATGTTGTTCTGTGATTATCTTTCTTGCACATAACAAGTGACCATTGAACATCAATATTTACTACTGCAAATAATTACATACTTTTGTGTTTCTTTTCTGTCATTTCTGTAGTGTCATTTGTCAGTAATTTGTTTAATTATTACCTCATTGCCATGTATAACATAAATATTATTTCTCTCTTCCTTCTCACCTCTCTTTCTATTTTGTTTTGTCTCACACATTCTGTTATTATGAGTTTCTATTTAGATATTTTAAAAATTTTTTGAGGGCTGGAGTGATAGCACAGCGGGTAGGGCGTTTGCCTTGCACGCAGCCAACCCAGGTTCGAATCCCAGCATCCCATATGGTCCCCCGAGCACCACCAGGAGTAACTACTAAGTGTAGAGCCAGGAGTAACCCCTGAGCATCACTGAGTGTGACCCAAAAAGAAAAAAAAGTTTTAAATCTTTGAAACACAACACAGAAAAATAAACAGATTTTAAGTGTATTGTTTGATGAACAGGCCCATGCAATTATTGCCTGAACCCCAGAAAGTTGTTACACTAAAAAAATTAAGGCTCTGGCCCCTGTGACATAGGGGGCTAAGTTTAAAGGCATAAGATAGAGTTGAACAGAAATATGCTTTCTATAGCATCTTCAGAAGAGCCCTGTTCATGTGCTAAGTGTGTGTATAGAGAAAATGATATAAAGAGAAGCACTTGCTGATGGCATCGAGTCACTCAAGACATCCAGAAGGAATATGAAGGAGCACCTTTCAATCAACCCCAACACAGAGCCTCCATGCAGGACCTCAGGAAACTAATCAGCCTGAGATGAGAACTTGAGAAGCCTCCATGAATATGGATAGGGATTGGGATGATAGTATAGTGAGCCAGTGGATTGCCTTGATTGTGGCTGATCTGGTTTGATCTCTAGCACCCTATCTAGTTCCCCAAGCCTACCAGGATTGATCCCAGAGCACAACAGTGTTTGATCCCCAAACTATATCTGTATCATCTATATCTAGATCTCTCTATCCATAGGTCCACCCAGTCTGGAGATCTAAAAGTACTTTATATGATTGAAAATCAAACAATTCTATTATTGAATTAATAATAATTAGACAACTAGTTTGTTTCAGCACCACTCATCTCCATTTCGTTGGAGTTTAAAGCAAATAGTTTTTTAAAAAAAGAAAAGAAAAAAGTCCCACATTAATCCAATAAACAATTAGGATCAGGAGAAGTGCCAGGTGATCTGAGTCGCCTACAATATACAAGTGTTGTCTAATCAGGAGATTAGGAGGACCTCCCTGAGAAAGTTTGGTTAGATCCCAAGGCTGAGTAGGAGTTAATTATAGAGTATGGGGAAAACTGACTTACCCAGGCGGCACAGGACTTCAGGCCTGGGGAAGGAGCTGACAGGAGAGAGAGAGAGAGAGAGAGAGAGAGAGAGAGAGAGAGAGAGAGAGAGAGAGAGAGAGAGAGAGAGAGAGAGAGAGACAGGAGCACGCAAAAAGCCTGTTGAATACTGCTGAGTTTATCAGCACAATAACCTACAGAGGCAAAGGG